ATCCTCCCCCCGTCTGTGCCCACCCTCCCCCAGTCTGTGCCCACCCTCTCCCAGTGTTCAAACCTGCTCTGGGATTAGGACTGTGGCTCAGTGATAAAGCACTTGCTTAGCATGCCACAAATAAGACCCTTGGTTTGATGCTCAGATTGTGCACGTGTGAGCGCGCGCGCACACACACTCACGTGCACAAATTAAAAAAGAAGGAGAAGAAGGAGGAGATAAATGACAGGAACATGAAAACAAATGTACTCAAGGATGCACAGACCCTCACCCCCCGTGGGGATCGGTGGGTCAAGATCCACGACACCGAGGAGAGAGAGCTTCTAGACTGCGCAGTAGACGTGGGAGCTGCAGAAATGGAGGAGGTGTGTTGGACTCCCATTGGGTTTCCTCTTGCAAACAGGGGTCAGGAGGGATTAGTATTCCCGCTTGCTGTGGAGTTCTCTGTAGATATCAAGGGACCTTGGGTGCGTTTGCAGGGTTCTGCAAGCTTCACGATTCAGCGGCCCAATCCCTTCAAAGGGGAAACAAGAGTGAGTGAGCAGTAATGAGACCAAAGGCCGCACTTAGGTCCCTAGGGCTGAGGTTGTTTCACAGGGTGTGGTTTTTAGGCCTTGGGTGAAGCTTGAACTTCTAGCGTCTGGGAGCCAAAGGGATGGTTTGATCCCTGGCAAAGGGGGTCGCAAGGGGAGGAGGGATCTTTCCTAACTCTGACCTCGGCAATATCTCTGCTTTCCCCATGATCTAGGGCAAGCTACAGGGTTCTTGAGGCCTCGGTTTCCCCCTTTTGTCTCTAGAAGCCCAAGTTCTCTTTCTGCTGGGGTCCCCAAAGCCCCAGATCCTCCCTGCCCCCTCAGGTCACCACCATAGCAAGGAATATGTCGAAATCAACCCCCTGAGGAAGGTCCCCAGCCTCAGAGACGGAAAGTTCATCTTATGTGAAAGGTAAGGGCCTGTCTCTGCTCCTCCTGGGAGATTCAGTGGGAACAGACCTGCCTGCCAGCATTTATTTATTTATTTGTTTGTTTGTTTATTTCCTGAGACGAGGCAAGATTGACGTACACTTGAATGGCCTAGCACTCACTATGTAGACAAGGCTGGCCTTAATCTCAAAGAGATTCATCTGTCTCTATATCCCAAGTCCTGGGATTTTCAGCAAACCTCACACAGCCATCTCCTGGCTTCTGTAGCTATCCACTTTGTCTCCTCGACACCTCCCTCTGTTCGTCCTCCTTCCACACACCCCATCACTCTACCCGTGAGGGCTTAGAAATATCCCACTAAGAAACAAAGACTCTAACACATACATCGCCCAATACCATTATGACAATGGGTGAAATTACCGAGCCTTCCCAGATTTTATCCTCAGCCAGCTCATATTCAAGTTCCACATTTACATACATGAGTATGTAAATGCACTGAGTGCAGGTCTGGTGCCTGGGAGGCCAGAAGAGCTCATCAAATCTCCTGGAACCAGTGTTATGGATGGTTGTGAGCCACCATGTGGGGGCTAGAAACCAGACCAGGGTCCTCTAGGAGAGCAGCAAGTGCCCTTGACCACTGAGCCTCCACGGCAGTCCCTCTTAAGTCCTGTTTAGTCGGTTTGGGGTTGCTGTGACAGAATTTGGCAGTGTGGGTGATTCTAACAAGCAGAAGGTTGACTTCCGCTTGTGGTTCTAAAGGTTGTAAAGTCCAGGAGAGTGGAACTGTTATCTGGCTTAGCATCTGCCTTTCCTTTGGGTCCTAGGAACAGAGAGATTACAACGCGGTGAGCAAGCAAGCGAGCTGGGGAGGGAGAGCATCTGTGTGTGTGCTTACAGAACTAAACCACCTGTGTCAACCTGGTCACCTATTAATCATTTTAACCATGCATGAATCAATCTGCCCTTGCGATCCCATCACCCTGAGCTGTCCCACCTCCTAAAGTTCCCCTGGTGGGAATGCAATGTCGTTCTGAGATTTAGTGGGACTTGGAAACCATCTCAACTCCGGTTGTTTGATTTCAGCTTGTTTTGTTTCTGATTGGCCTCTTTGTGCGCTCTTCTGTCCTGTGGCATTTCCTACACACACTAACTGTTTGTTTGCAAGCCTGGGTCATCCCTTCCTGCAAAGCTCTGGTCTAACCTCTGCCCTGTATCCTTTGGTCCCCACCACCCCATCCTACACCATCCCCACGAGACCAATACCTCTTGATGGATTATTGCGTGAGCCACCATCTTGGCTTGCCTGAGACTTATTCTACCTCTTCTAACTAGAGGGATATATCCTCTCATCCCTCAAAATCTTAAAAGATTAAGTCTTGGGGCTGGAGGGAAGGCTCCACAGCTAAGAGCCCTAGCCATTCTCCAGAGGACCCAGGCTCCCAGCTCTCACGGAGTGTTTCATACTCTGTAACTCTAGTTTTGGGGGATCAAACTTCTTCCAGCCTGTGAGGGCACCAGACACACAAGAGGTTCACAGACATACACCCAGGCAGAACACTCGTACACAAAAACTAAATTAGGTAAAAAATACTTATCTCTGGCTGTCCTCTCCCACCACGGCAAGCGTCCCACCAGCCACGTGTCTCACTCAGCAGTCCCCAGATGTCCCCACTCTCTCTGGAATCTCAACATTCTTTGCCCCCTCTCTTTCTCTCCAAGATAGGATTTCTCTGTGGTAGTCCTGAAACTTGCTCTGCAGACCAGGCTGGCCTCGAAGTTACAGAGATCTGCCTGCCTCTGCCTCCCAAGCACTGGAATTAAAGGTGTGCACCACCACTGCCTGGCGATTTGGGGAGGGGGGTGCTGCCCTTTCTTATGCCATCCATCAACTCCTGAGCGCCCTTCAGGTCTTCCCCCGTGTCTTGCTGACTATTGGTCTGACATCACAGCTTGGGGTAAGCTTCCCAGAGGAACTTTTTGGGTTCCTCCTTCTCCTGCAGGAATTTAGCACCTAGGGCCTGCCTGTGGTTGAAGGCCATGTCGGGGTGGTGTCGGGGCTTTCAGAAGGTACAATCAGTGCCCCGACTTGCCCTTTCTGTAGTGTGGCCATCCTCTACTACCTATGCCGCAAGTACAGTGCACCTTCCCACTGGTACCCGCCAGACCTACACATGCGCGCCCGTGTGGACGAGTTCATGGCCTGGCAGCATACAGCCATTCAGCTGCCCATGAACAAGATACTGTGGATCAAGGTGAGTGACCCAGCCTGGGGCTCGGGAACAGGAAAACAAAACAATCAGACAGCCTGAAGTCCAGGCCTGGTTCTGTTGACCAAGCCTCTTTTTCCAGGATCCTACATCTGCCTACCTCTCAGAGATTGTGGGATGAACTAAGTAGGACAAAACTTGGCAAAGGCAAAGGGCAACTAGAAAGGGTCAAGACAGGACTCATGACACTTCGTTCTGAGCTAGAGAATACCAGTAAACTTAAAAGGTGACAACCAGCACACATATTCCGACTTCTAGTTTCTGCTTGTGTTTTTAGCTCATTTTCCATTGCTATGATAAAATGCTCCAGGCCGGGTAACTTGTGAAGAAAAGAGGTTTATTTTTTTATTTTATTTCTTGAGATTTATTTATTTATTATGTATACAACATTCTGCCTGCATGAATGTTGCCTACAGGCCAGAAGAGGGCACCAGATCTTATTACACATAGTTGTGAGCGACCTTGTGTTTGCTGGGATTTGAACTCAGGACCTCTGGAAGACCGGTCAGAGCTCTTAACCTCTGAGCCATCTCTCCAGTCCGAAAAGAAGTTTAGTTAGCACACAGTTTTGGAAGCAGGAAGTCTAAACAGCACGGCACCAGCTCTGAAGAGGGCCCCGGAGCAGATGCTATTACAGTGGAATCAGGTGCTAGCCAGGATTGCCTGCTAAGACGGGGAATCAGAGCTTGCCTTTCCATAACAGCTTGCTCTCTTGAGTACTGGCTGTGTTCACCTCGATTCCTTCTGAAGTCAGTGCCCCCAGTTAGTCTCCAGGTTTTAAAGATTCCGGCCCCTATCATGTCACCAAAAGGACTGAATTCCCAAACTCATCAACCGTTGGTGAGTGAGACTCACTCAAAGCATGGGACTCCCTGCTCTCCAGGCCTCCAAATCCATCTGAACTCATGGCCCTTGGTAACTGCCCCTTGAGAAAGGCCCAAAAGGTGAAATTTACATCCTTGGAAGTGTCCAAGCTCTATACCAAAGCCTGGCAGGGGGAATGGGCTGGAATATTGCCTCTCCATTGTCCACTTCCCTCCCTGCCCAGCTGCTAATCCCAACGATCACGGGTGAGGAGGTTCCTGCTGAGAAGATGGAGCAGGCAATGGATGAGGTGAAGAGAAACCTACAGCAATTTGAGGAGAAGTTTCTGCAGGACAAGATGTTTATCACTGGAGACCACATCTCCCTGGCTGACTTGGTGGCCCTGGTGGAGATGATGCAGGTAGGGGGAGAGGGAAGATGTTTCTGTGACCAGGGCCTGGAGTCTGGGGATAGACCAAGAGAGGCAGATGTGACCACCCTGAGGGTTGTGGGAGCCAGGTCGGGGTGCTTGGACCCACCTGGAAGTGACAGGAAAGAATCAGAGGTTTTGAGTCTAGGAGCATCTTGATCATGGAACTTGACAAGATTCCATGGCATGGAGAGAAGCCAGAGGGAGAGCCGGGGATGCAGAGAAAACCATGGTATACCAGCTAAGATCCCAGATACCCGCTCCTCCTGCTGGGCTTGCCAGGAAGAGTATGGAGATTCCTAGTGTCTCTTTCCCAGTTTCCTCTTTTCCAGAGCTCCAGAGGCAGCAGCAGCATTAAGACAGCACTCCCAGTTCTGGGTCTGAGCAGTGGAGAGCACTGTGCACTGGAGGCAAACTTGTAGGAGTGCAGGCTTTTCATGTGTTTTACATGTATGCTCAGTTCACACGAGCCAGCTGGTGTATGCAGGACAGTCAGTTTAGACATGTCCAATGTTCTTTTCTTCCTCCCTTACTTCCTTTCTTAAGCTAAGGTTTCACGTGTCTCAGGCCAGCCTCAAACTGGCTATTTAGTTGTCATGACCTTGAACTTTTGATACTCCTGCACACAATGCCCGGTTTGTAGTGTGCTGGGTGCTGAGCCCAGTGCTTTGTGCATGCTATGTAAGTCTGTCTGCTGAGTCACATGCCCAGCCCATTGGCCAGTGTCTTGAGAGGACTTTATAGTTTCCCGCGAGGACTCAAAGTAGCAACTTTAGTCCTAGGACAATGTGTGATGTGGAACAGCTCAGGGAAAACCATTCTGGCCTGCACCAAGCAGGCTGGCCTCAAACTCACAGAGATCGCCTGCCTCTGCCTTCCAAGTACGAGGATTAAGGGCTGGTGCCAAAACAACCCTGGGGCGCATGTTTCTTAATGAAGCAGCTAACTGCTAAGCACGTTGCATGCTGAGCCTCTTCTTATTGCTCTTTTCCTGATCACAGAAGGAGGTCCGACACTGGGGAAGGAAGCACTTACGTTCTATTCCTTCCTGGAATGAGAAGTGGGAGTCACCTGGGTCAGGAGTCACCATCTTTGACCAGGACCCTCAAAGCCTGTTTCACATAGACGGTAGAGGTTTGACACTTGCCAAGAAAGACTCATCCTCCCGCTCCTTTTCCAAAAAGATTTATCTATTAAGCATACAATGTACTGCTGGCAAGGAGGTTGTGAGCCACCATGTGGTTGCTGGGAATTGAACTCAGGACCTCTGGAAGAACAGCCAGTGCTCTTACCCTCTGAGCCATCTCTCCAGCACCAAAGTATCCCTTTTCTGCTGAAGCAGATACAGATATCCCTTGAGGCTACAGAAGCCCCGAGCGCAGCTGGTGCTGACGCTGACCACATCTTCCTTTTGTGTACCCATAGCCGATGGGGAGTGACCACAATGTCTTCAACAGCGCCAAACTTGCTGAATGGCGGATGCGGGTGGAGTTAGCCATTGGTTCTGCCCTCTTCTGGGAGGCTCACGACCGACTGGTGAAGTTACCCAGCTGGGACTTCTCGACGCTGGACCCCACGATCAAGATCAGGATGAGTGAATTTCTGAAGAAGTATAAGTGACCACAGAGGCTGTTCGTTCTGCAGGGTCTGGCTGTCTCTGCCATCTGAGCCTCTTCCCTTAGGGAAGACACTAAGAAACACCCTGTTCCTTTACCTAATAATAAAAACAAAACAAAACCTGGAACAGTCACCATGGCTGTTATGAGGACAGTAGGTGTGAGCGAAGAGAATGGTACAGGAGGAGGTGACGGTCACAAGTCTTGGTTTCTAAAAAGAATATAAGGCTGGGGAGATGGCGCAGAGGGTAAAGTGCTTCTGCCTGCCTTAGTAAGGGTTTCTGTCGCTGTGAAGAGACACCATGACCATAGCAACTCTTATAAATGAAAACGTTTAATTGGGGTGGTGGTTTACATTGTCAGAGGTTCAATCCATTATCATCATGGTGGGACCCAGTGGTATGCAGGCAGACGTGGTGTTGGCTACATCTCGATCAAAAGGCAACAGGAAGTGTACTGTGACATTGGGTGGTATCTTGAGCCTAGGAAATTGCAAAGCCTACCCCCACAGCGACACACTTCCTCCAACAAGGCCTCACCACTCCAACAAAACCACACCTCCTAATAGCGCCACTCTGTGAGCTCAAGGGAGCCAATTACATTCAAACTACCACACTGTTTTAGTTCTTAGTTCACATTTCTACTACCCACACTAAAGCCAGGTACAAGTGCCATCCCCAGAGCTCGCTAAGTAGCCGGTTCAGCAGAAATGGCAAGCCCCAGGTTCAACAGCAAAGATGCTAGTTCAAAAACAAGGAGGAAAGCAAAAGAGTAAGCCATCCAACATCAGCATATGGTTTCTGTAGGAGCACCTACCTGTTTGGTTGAAAGCATCACCTCAGCTCCCTGATGCCCCTTTATACAAAGAGTCTGAAATGTTTAGTTGGGGGCTTCACCCCAGCCCCTGGCATCCATTTTGAGCCACCTCCCCTGGGAGTTGCCTCAGTCCAAACTCCACCTCCAAGAAAGCCCATCAAATGGTGATCCCTCCACAGGGAGAGTCAAGACCACTCCACAGGCTATTTAAACTGCCTCCCAGAGAATTAACACGTGGCCTCCCCTTTTCCCTCTCTGGTGGTCGTTCTGATTCTCCTTTTTCCTCTCTGTATTTTTCTGGGGGCCACCCAGGAGTGCTGGCATCCATTAAACCTGGGCATCTTCTAATTTGATCTGATTTGGTCTAATTTGGATATTCAAAGACTGTATATGATTACATTTTTGTTGATAATAGTCAGCAACCTTAAATATCAACATGTAGAAGAATTCAAATAAATCGCTATCACCATGTACAAAACTCAAGTCCAAATGAATCAAAGACCTCAACATAAAACCAGCCACACTGAGCCTCATAGAAGAGAAAGTGCGAAGTACACTTGAACACATTAGCACAGGACACTACTTCCTAAATATAATAACCCCAACAGCACAGACACCGATATTAATAATTAATAAATGAGGCCTCCTGAAGCTGAGAGGTTTCTGTAAAGCAAAGGACACGGTCAAGAAGACAAAATGGCAGCCTACAGATTGGGAAAAAAATCTTCACTAATCTCACATCAGACAGATGTCTGATCTCCAAAATATACAAAGAACATAAGAAACTTGACATCAAAAGAACAAACAATCCAATAAAAAAATGGAGTGCAGACCTAAACAGAGAACTCTCAACAAAGGAATCTAAAATGACTGAAAGACACTTAAGGAAATGTTCAACAACCTTAGTCATCAGAGAAATGTAAATCAAAACAACTCTGAGATTCCATCTTATACCTGTAAGAATGGCCAAGAACAAAATGCTGATGACAACTTATGCTAGACAGGTTGTGTGGTAAGGGAAACACTCCTGCTTTGCTTGTGGAAGTGAACTTGTACAGCCACTTTGGAAGTCAGTATAGCAATTTCTCAGAAAATTAGGAAACAATCTACCTTAAATCCCAGCAATATCACTTTTGGGTATATACCCAAAGGATGCTCAATTGTACCACAAGGACATGTGCTCAACTATGTTCATAGCAGCTTTATTTGTAATAGCCATAACCTGAAAACAACCTAGATGCCCCTCAACAAAAGAATGGATGAAGAAAATGTGGTATATTTACATAATGGAGTATTACTCAGTAATAAAAAAAATGACATCTTGAAATTTGCAAGCAAATGGATGAATCTAGAAAAAAAATATCTTGAGTGAGGTAACCCAGACCCAGAGAGGCAAATATAATATGTACTCACTCATAAATGGCTTTTAGACATAAAGCAAAGAAATCCAGCCTACAATTCACAATCCCAGAGAACCTAGACAACAAGGTCACAAGAGAGTGGAGGAAGGGAGAGAGTTGGACAAAAATATATAGCTCAGTAAAAATAATTTTAAAAAAAGACAAAAATAACAATAAAAAATAGCCAGCAATTTCGGGCCAGGCGGTGGTGGTGCACGACTTTAATCCCAGCACTTGAGAAGCAGAGGCAGGTGGATCTCTGTGAGTTCGAGCCCAGCCTGGTCTACACCAGCTAGTTCCAGGACAGGCTCTAAAGCTACAGGGAAACCCTGTCTCGGAAAAAAACAAAACAACAACAACAACAAAAACCCCAGAAACTTCAATACCTCCTTTCAATAATAGACTAGAGTATCTGGACAGACGATTATTAAGGAACAATGAGATACAACAGAGTTGACCTTCTAGACCATTCCCCACAGGAGAATAAATACTTTTCTCAGCTTCACCTGGAATGAAGACACTGTACGACTCATTACAACATTGAGAAGAGGGAATCACGGAAACTCTATTCTCTGAATCAAAACGGAATGAAGTTAGAAATCATGAACAGGGCCAGTGAGATGGTGCAGCAGTAAAGCGGTCTGCTGCCAAACCTGATGACCCACATTCAATCCCTGAGACCCCTAGGGTTGAAGGAGAGAACCAACTCTCCAGAACTGTCCTCTGACCTTTGAGCGCGCGCGAGCGCGCGCGCGCGCGCACACACACACACACACACACACACTCACACACACACTAAAAATGCAATAACACATTTCAAAAAAGGAATCAGTAACAAAAGAAAGAATTGGTTGTGGTGAGCCTACAAATATTGTAAATTCTGCAGAAATCTTGTGAAATCATGGCATTTCTCCCTTCTATAGTATCCCAGCAGTGTATAAGCCTGACTTTTCCTATAGGGCAACCGGATACCTCCCCTCACACCATGAAGCCATAGTGTGGAAAGGATTCATTCAGTCAAGTCTTTGTTCTCACAGCCAAAATCTACAAACCTCCTTTATTGACAGTACTCAGTGATAAGAAGTGAGCCCGACTCAGAAAGGTGTAATCTACTGGTCTTCTCGCTCTGACGTAACAGGCTACTAATACTCTTTATTTACCCTTCACCATGGTTTCACCTAACATAAGATACAGCCCAGGAAATTAGGGAAATTGCCTAAGTCGCTTATACGAGCTTCAGAGAGAAAACTTCTCACCTGGGCACCCTGCTGGAGTCAAAAGCAAGATCCCCAGAAGAAATCCCTTTTAACTCAACCAATTAGATATTAATGCAGGTCAAGCCCACAGGTTAGTATATCGACCGAGGCTGTGTTTCAGACCCAGGGGAACATCACAGTCACGCCCCCTCTGATGCATAAGGCGCCTCCTTGTCAGATCCACCGGTTTTTGTGACTCTGGAAATGTATGCTACCATACCATTGTTAGCACCTATGGGATTGCTAACTTGTCTGCACGCCGATATAAACGGAAAGCTTGGTGCAGATTCTCCCTTCCTAAGCTTTGCCCTTATCCTAGGCTTTGCCTTATACCTTACTGTTTGGTAGAAAGCGCCACCTCAGTTCCCTGAAACCCCTTTATACAAAGAGTCTGGAATATTTAGTAGGGGGCGTCACCCCAGTCCCCTGGTATCCATTTTTGAAATGCTGGGCAGAAAACTCCATTCCAAGCCCCCTCCCCTGGGAGTTGCCGCAATCCAAACTCCACCTCTGAGAAAGTCCGCCAAACAGTGTCCCCTCCCCAGGGAAAGTCAAGACCACTCCCACAGGCTACTTAATTGCCCCCAGAGAATGAACACCTGGTCTTTCTTTTTCCCTCTTTCCCTCTCCGTATTTTCCCGGGGCGACCCCGGAGTGCTGGCAGCCACTAAACCTGGGTATCTTTTAATTCGGTCTGATTGGGATCATTTGCATCAGTGGAGAGGTTGGTCATGTAAGAAAATAAACTTAACACTTACACTTAGCCTTCCTCTTATGCCCTTATGTCTTATGCCCTTATACTACTTCTCCTTTTTTCTTCCCCCAAAGAATAAAGAAACATGCAGGAAAAACGTGCCCAAATCAGTCGGTTTGTTCTACCTCTCAATTCCCGTTCCCAAGCCGGTTTTCTCTTGTCATAGAAGTCCTGTTCTGAGCCCTGAGAGAGCGTTGAGACTGGTACTCAGTAGCTCCCAATATCTTGGACCAATAAAATGAAAGAACATACCAAAATTGATGGGACACAGAATAAGAAAAACTCAGCAGAAAAGGCATAGCTGTAAAAATACCCATGAAAAGGCATAATCTGGGGCTGGAGAGATGGCTCTGGGGGAAAATCAGCCTGTGACAGGACAGATACTATGTGACTCCACGTATATCTGAAATGGCCACATTCCAGAATAGATTGATGGTCTGCCAGCCCAAGTAAGGTAATTAGCCTCTGAACCTGCAACATTCCAATCCCTCCATGGTATTGAAATTCTAATTCCTCAATCAGTCTCCCCAGACACAGCTTATTTCTGGGAGTTTCGTGTTTATCCTTATCTTTTGATTTTTATAAAAAGGTGTTCTATATGCAAGTATAGTGTGTGTGTGTGTGTGTGTGTGTGTGTGTGTGTGTGTGTGTGTGTAGTCTGGGTTGGTACCTCAGTTCTCTCCTGCATGTTGCTATGATATTAGCAAGGAATCCCTTAGATTTCACCTCCCTTTTCTCCCACAGATCAATACAGTCACACAGCAAGGTTCCTTTCTCCAATGGTGAGCAGATAAAACTCAGTCTCTACTCCATGAGAGTTATATTTGCAATTTCATATTTAACCTGGTCCCCTTGGTCTCAGCTCCCTTGTTGTGGACCCTGCTGGGGGGCCTAGCAGAGTATGCCCCCCATGACCCCTCCTCACCTCTGGTCCTCAGGAAGCCTGCCAGTAGGACGGAAATGTGCATTGGACTCCAGATCTTACCTTTCCATGTGCCCACAGGCATAGAACTTAACCTGGGCCTCAGACGTCCCATAAGTAAAGAAATACAGCATCCAAGGAGCTCAGTCTTGTTTTTGCCACTACGAGATTGTTATTCCAGTAAGGAATTTGGTCTTGCTAGGATGGTGGCTTGTAGGCAGAGTTCTCCCATCCTGCGAGCCACTTCCAAATTACGACACAGAGACTTACAGTAATTGTACTAACTAGCTCTTGCATTTTAAATTAACCCATATTTCTTATTTATGCTCTACTATGCAGCAGTACCTTTAATAGCATGGGACATTCATCTCCTGCTTCCTTTGCTACTGGCTGGCAACTCCTCAAACTCTGCCCTTTCTCATCCAATCATTCTCAGTTTGACTTTCCCACCTAATTTCATCCTGTTCCGCTATTGGCCAGTCAGCTTGTTTATTAAACCAATCATAGAGACATATATTTACATAGAGTACAGGACTATTCCTCAACATTGACTTCATCTCACCTTCCTACGATGTTTTCTTGTTTGTCTGAGCATGTGCCGTGTGTATGCAGGTATCCACAGAGGCTGGAAGAGGATGTTAGATCCCCTGGACCTGGAGTAGTATGTAATTGTGAGCTCCCTTAGGGTTGTTTACAGGAACATGGGTAGGGGTTTGTGAAAAGACACATGGGCACTCTCTCAGTCATTACTCTGTTGCTGTGAAGAGATATCATGACCACAGCAACTCTTATAAAAGAGAACATTTAACTGGGGTTTGCTTACAGTTTCAGAGGTTTGCTCCATTATCAGGCCAGGGAGCGTGGCAACACACATGCAGATGTCGTTGCTGTATCTGTAGCTGAGAGTCCTACATCCAGATCTGCAGGCAGCAGGAAGAGAGAGACACTGGGCCTGGCCAGAGCCTGTGAAATCCCAAAGCCCACCCCCGTGATGCACTTCTTCAGACAAGGCCGCAGCTCCTAATCCTGCTCAAGCAGTGCCACCCCCTGATGACTAAGAATTAAGTATATGAGCCTATGGAGCCTGTTCTTATTCAGATCATCACACAACCACCACAAGCCACGTTCCAGTGGTTATGCCACCTAAGAAACGTCTTTCCCATCAACCCTTAATTGCTCTTAAATCCTCAGGAGGGGATGGGGTTAAGAATGTCTCTTGATGTAACCCAGACCCAGACAATTATCACATGGACTTATTCATAAGTGGTTTTTAAACATAAAACAAAGAAAATCAGCCTACAAATCACAATCCCAGAGAACCTAGACAACAATGAGGACCTTAAGAGAGACACACATAGATCTAATCTGCTGGGCAGTAGTGGTGCGTGCCTTTAATCCCAACACTGGGAGGCAGAGGAAGGTGGGTCTCTGTGAGTTCAAGGCCAGCCTGGTCTACAAGAGCTAGTTCCAGGACAGGCACCAAAGCTACAGAGAAACCTTGTCTCGAAACAAACAAACATAGGTCTAATCTACATGGGAGGTAGAAAAAGATAAGATCTCCTGAGTAAATTGGGAGCATGGGGACCTTGGTAGAGGGTTTAAAGGGAGGGGGGAGGCAGGAAGGGGAGCAGAGAAAAATGTAGAACTCAATAAAAATCAATTAAAAAACAAGAATGCCTCTTGATAAACTCTTTCTCCTTACTGTGTATATGTCTCTGTCTGAATTCTTATTCAAGAATACACGAACCTGGAAATTCCAGCACTTTCTCACTGGACCCCTTCCTGTAACAAAAGCATTGAGAAGAAAGGACCTTCAAACACAGCTCATGGGTGATTGTGGTGGTTTGTGTGAGAATGGCCCCCACAGGTTCGTAGTTTTGTTTGGTCCCAGTTGGTGTATTGTTTAGGAATGATCAGGCGGTGTGGCTTTATTGGAGGAGGTTTGTGGAAATGATCAGTTCAAGACCCTTACTGACAACCATATCTGTTTGGTTGGAAGTATCACCCCAGCCCCTGGTATCCTTATACCCAAATAGTCTGGAATGTTTGGGTGGAAAGTTCCATCACAAGCCCCCTCCTCTGGAGGTTGCCTCAATCCAGACTAAACCTATGAGAAAGCCCACCAAATGGTGGCCCCTCTCCAGAGAGGCTCAAGATGGAGTGTCTTTGGTGCTCAACATTCTCTCAGGAAGAGATTGGTGCTGTCAGAGGCAGTCGTGTCTCATGTCAGCCCAACCCTAAGTTATTTAAATGCCATGTTCCACAGATCCTTGAAGTGGTTGAAGATTACCTATCTAGACAATACAATCTCGATGTATCTAAAGAACCTAATTGATCTAACTGTATGTACAGCAAGCATGAACAACTACTGACCTATAATAATTAATACCTGTGTAACTTAAAGACTAAAACTTCATGTCAGAATATTAAATAACCTGTAGACAAATGTGCAACAAATGAGGACAATGATCTCAAAATGTAAACAATATATAAGTATCTTGACGAAAGGTAGGAGCAATATATAATGCAATATGAAAATATATCCTAAAAGTTGTATCGGTATACAAAGTGTCCTAAATAGAGCTAGAAACATTCATATATACAATCTGACAGAATAACTTTGTGTAGGTGTACGAATAATGTAAACAAAGTAACACATATAATTTGAACTTGTGTCAATATACAAAAACTATACCAATGTAAATTATTCATGAATAATAGCTCACAAGTATTCCCTCTATTACCCACTATTACTATCCCCTCTTTTATTTTTAACAAACATAGTTTTCACCCAATCCTCTATCTAATACAAGTAATAATCAACAACCCCTAAACAGTGTTCCCAATCCTATGGACAAACTTTTCTGGGATCCTGATATGAGACAGAAACTCTGAATGTTCCTTTTGACAACATGCCTGGATTTAGAGAAGTACAGAGCCATTGTCCAACTCCAAAACCAGCTGAATATATTACTATACATGTGTGTGTGTGTGTGTGTGTGTGTGTGTAAATGTAAGTATAACCCATACCTGGATTCATAAACCATATTCTGTTTTCTAGATGCTCCTTAGTGGATAGTTATTTTTTCTTCTGTCAGCATTCAAATATCCAGGGTCTCTTGAATTTTTGATAATGTGTATTTTCCTGCAAAGATAAGAGCAGAAACCTGCCCCAACCCTATATGGCTTTCCTTACCACCTGTATGGTTGTCACCATTGTGGATGAGCTGTTATTTCTCTGTTTCAATAGCTTTCTCCTTTTCAAAGCAAATCTTTATTAATTTTGATGGTATGTATAATTTTTTCTTCTACTGTGGAAAGAAGAGCAAAACCCCTTCCCCAAAGTAGTACATCTCCTGGTTTCCATAGATCTGTCACCATTCTCCATTTTCCAGACTTCTTGTTAACAACAATTACAGAAGAATTCCAAGGGCTAGTAGATTCTTCTTTATGTCGAGCATCTAGTTGATCTTGTACTAGGTGTTCTAAAGCCTGCAACTTTTCCTCAGATAGAGGCCACTGCTTAACCCATATTTGTTTCTCAGCTAACCATTTTAAAGGTAGGGCTGTTGGTACCTCTGAAGGTTTATCAATTGCTTTGTGTTCTTGTACAGCCCAAATGCCTGGTGTCTGTCATCTATAATATCTTCTAATATTTTCCTCAGAAATGTAAGTTTTTTGGGCTTCAGGAATGGTAATCTGGATATTCCATTGCTGCAACAGGTCATGACCCCACAAATTCACTGCAATGTTGGCTATATATGACCTTAGTCTTCCTATTTGCCCTTCAGGCCCTATGCATTCAACCCATCTCGTGCTTTGTCTCATCCAAGATAGCATTCCAGTTCTCAGGAACTGAACATGTACCTCTTGAAGAGACCAATTCAGATGCCAAGATTCTGGAGTAATGATACTTACATCTACACCCATGTCTAATAAGCCTTCAATAAAAATACCATGTATACAAACTCTTAGCTTTGGTCTTTGTTTGTTAATAGAAGTCTGCCAAATTATATGTTTACTCTGTCCTACTGGATTTTTTTTGACTCATCCTCCACATTTAACCCATCATTCAGACCTGTATTGCTTTTTACAGCAGGCATTAGATTTTTTAAAATTTTCTTGAAAAGACACGTTCTCCTCTGCAACTGGGAATGACTGGGTCACTTTTGGCTTGGGGGTCTGCAAGAGGTCCCTAAAGGAGTTTCCCAATGATATCAGGTTGCCTTGTTTGTCCGTTGTTGACCTGCATTCATTGGTACAATGTTGGCCTTTACCACACCTTCTACATATATCTGAAGACCGAGGTCTCCTATTTTTGCCATTCCCAGAGGAGACATTATTCCTAGAAATTCCTTGCCTATAATCTCTTCTCAGATGTTCTATTTTACCACAATTGAAACATTTGGTAGTTTGATGTCTCCTCATTGCTTTGGAAATCTCTTCTCCTACCTAAGATTCATCATTATAGTCAAACGTCTCAATATTCATCGTATGCTGAATCCATTCATCCATAGGTGCTGATCTAGATCTTAAAGGCTTAATTATCTTTTTTCATTCTAAGTTGCATTTTCAAAAGCCAGAGATTCAAGAATTATTCGTCTAGCTACTGGGTCTGTTACTCCTGTTTGTACAGCCTTAATTAATCTCTGTAAAAAGTCAGTAAAGAATTCTTTCTGTCCCTGTGTAACCCTGGTATATAATTCTATCCTTTTCCTAGATCCTGTCCCAAGCAATCAAGGCTGCTTTGTGGCATAGGGACAAGATTTCTTCGTCGTAAAGAGCTTGGACCTGTGAGTCAGCATACAGGCCTTCGCCAAGAAGTTGATCTTGGGAAACCTCAAGACCTTTAGCTTTTCCCTGTTGTTCCATACGTTTGAATCCTCCCTGAAATAAATTCCAAACATCAAGGAAGGTCCATCATCCAAGACTGCTGAAACTAACTGAAAAATGTCATGGGGGGGGTTTCCCTGACATCAGAAACCCAGGTCTTTATCATCTCCTTAACAAATGCAGAATGCAAGCCTTAAGTTACAACAGCTTGCTTAATTTCTTTTAGATCATTCATTCCTATTGGTGTCCATCTACCTTCTTTGGTTCCCTTCAAGCCTTTAGAAGTTGATGCTTTATCAGAGTAAGTTACAGGGTAGGATGCTAAAACCCTGGGTAATCCAGTTCTGACAGTCACTGGTGATGTTGCATCCTGTCCTTGTGCCTTCTTTCCCTGTTCATCAGCTCCAATAATCTCTTCAATCATTTCAAATCTTTTTATCACTGTTTTTTTTTTTTTTATAAAGCCTGAATGCCCTGGCCTGTATATATTTCTAGTGATTTCATGGAGGCATCAAGTCTCTAGTCCTTATTCTGTACCTGTGATTCCAAGGTTTTAATGTTCTCCTTTAAAGATAACATCTCCTCCTTGTCATTTTCTTTAATACTGTGTAGATTGCCATCCTGGAGGTACATTCTGTCTGTTACTTTATCAAAACTTTTTGATAACTTTTGAATGTCAAATTCAACAGTATGAATTCTTTCATATATTTTCTTAATACCCTTAGATATGGAGTCAATTCTATCTATCATAGTATCCACTTGTTCAGATAACCTCTGAACCTTTCGATTATTTTAATCCTGTCAATTAGCTGTTCATTATTAGTCCATAAAGATTGTATCATTCCTAGGAGTGCCATATTCTTCCTTAATGATAGGATATGGAGAAGAAAACTGAAACCTAGTAACCAGTAAATTGAGGTATCCCCATAGTCACATAAGCCTCTCATGATATAATCCATTGTATTAGTAAAGAAAGCAGTAAAAGTTGCATTGGAAATAAAAACGGCCAAATTACCTGTTATCCAGCAGGTGGCGCTGTTGCTGAGTCACACCTAAAATCACTGCAAAGGTGACAGAAACGGTCCTGTTTCAGCGTCTGCCTTGGCATTTGTTAAAGACTGGGAAATAGGAGTTGCTCAACAAAGTAAATGTAATCAAATCAATTCCATACACGGAGCCAGAAACCCAGGATCCAGGGGCAGAGAACAGCAACCCAGAAGCCACATAAGCCGCCATGTGACAAAGAGTTACTCTGAGGCATTGCAGCATTGGGCAACCACTTGCGCTCTGACTCATGCTGCATAGGCGCTGTGCTGCAATGGGGATTTCAAAACTGCTCAGGAAAGAGCAAACCAGGCAGGCAGAGACTGTCTGGGCCTGTGGAGCCCAGGAAGTGTGGAGTTTAAATCCATATGGGTGCCAGGTATAGACTAAGTCACAAAACAATCCCATACCAGTTTGGAATTATGATTAATAAAAGGGTTATTTATTTAAGGGGAAAGCTTACAGATCACTGTCCTAGACAACATCCCTTTGCACAAACAGGAACTGAGTCTGGTAGCCAGAAGCAAGAGAGGGAGAGCAGGGCTACTGCTGCTTTTTAAAGCAAAAGAGACCATGCCCAAGTGGGCTGGTATCTTAAAGGCTATTGGCTGAAGGAGTGGAAGAAACTCCCACAGCAGCTAGCTCACTCCAGTTACTTTATTCAAACATATACAACGTTAATAGGGGTGGGAAAATGTTCTTACTACCAAAGTCATCTTGTTCTTGCTGTCCATGAGAACAGACAACCCACACAAATCTCAGTTCATTTTGATTATGGCCGTAAGCAAAAATAAGAACTCCAGGTCTGCCAAGAGTGTCTTCAGATCAAGGTTGGTAGAGCTGTAAGCTCTCACATGGTGCTAAGTAGCACCAAGTGCAGACTCTCCAGAGAAACAACATTTATTCGAGGTTTAAACAGCCTCAAAACAATTTCTCAGCTTCTGCTGATTAACCCAAATATAGCTAAGGTTTTGCTAAAACATTTCTCTCAAAGCCAGACACAAAAGCCTTTCTTCCCTTAGAGTCTGACATAAGGGTTTTACTTTACGTATCACTGCAGGAATGGGCTCGTTCTCTCTTCCAATTCAATAATAAAAAGCCAATTAAGATGTGTTACTGAGAATCTTGAGGGATCCCTGGGGAAACATGTGATAACTGGGAAATCAGGGTCCTCTCTTGGGATCCTCAGTTTCATTAATAAAAGAATTTAAGAATGATCACGGGAGCTGGAGAGATGGCTCAGCAATTAAGCTGGCTGCTCTTCCAGAGGACCTGTGGTTCAATTCCCAGCACCCACATGGCAGCTTGCCATGTGTAACTCCAGTTCTAGGGGGTCTGACACCCTCACACAAACATATACAGGCAAAACACCAGGGTACATAAAAAAAAAAAAGGAAAGAAAGAAAGAAAAATGCTCAAGGACCCAGACCAGACTCAGACAGAAGCCACGGGACCATTTATTAGAGTTTAAAAAGAAACCCCCAGGATGGGTTTGCTCTAAGTCTCACAGCTGCCTGGAAGGAAGGAGGAGAATGGAGAAGAACAAATATCTCGGTGCTTGAGACTAGGTGGCACGGAGAACAGCCACTTGGTGGCAGGGAGTCACACGGGCAGGGGGGTGACTTTAGAAAAGGAGTCATGAAGAGCTCAGAGCACTAGCCAGGGAGTTTAAAAGCATCCTTAGACTGTGACTAGCATCCTACGGAAAAAAAGAAGTGAAGAAATGAAGACAGTCAGGCCCCAGAAAAGTGGCTGGACCCAGATCCAGTTGAATCTCGTAGTGCCTCATCTGGTAGGGGCTGCAGCAGGGGATGGGAATTCTGGAAAGAAAAGCACATTCTGTTGAAGGGAATGAAGCACATTCTGTCTTCTGTGGGGTGGGCCCCCTAGCCAGAGCTCTGACCTGCACCATTGGATTAACCCTTCAAGGAGGAGTCAGGAGCGTGTCTCAGACCAGGGGTAGATTCCATCTTTATATCCACCAATTGCATCTGAAGAGCCGTCTTTAGCGGTATCCACAAAAGTAAGTATGAGATGGCCTGAAATTAGGGAATAGCTCTAACTTATTTTTACCACGAAAATCTAGAGATCTGTTTTCCAAGTTGTTCACCAAAGGCATTCGTGTTTGGGACTAGGTTTGAGCTTTTATCACATATGCTGTCTGGGCAGGGGTGTTCATTCAGTAGGCGGTAAGA